GGATATTAAAATATAATTTAGAAAATTTATATCAAGTATTATATCAAGTATTATTGTTTTTAGGTTCGTAACGTTGAATACAAAGACCCCATTGAAGAAGAATGGGAGAAATTTCAAAAAGAAATTAAGGAAGAAACTGCGCAATCTGCACAAATTATAGCTGACGATCAGGAGGAAGCAACAACAGAAAGACAATTAGATGAAATTGAGGAACAAATTAGGCATTGGTCTAGGTAAGTATATATGAAGTATATGAAGTAAGGAAAAAAGATATTAATTATAAATTAATTTTCATAAAAGGGTAATGGATCTCGCAAAATGTATGGAACAAGTGCAGGGTACCGATAGAAAACAAGAAAATATTGATGATGATGTATCAAGTGGTGATGAAGCCGAGTTCGACGAGTTTCTCGATTGGCGAGCAAAGAATTCGTATAAATAAAAGATTTTATATATCTAACAATTTTGTAAATATTACTCTTTTTAATATTTGTATAAACTAATAAGTTTTTTCTTAATTAGTTTACATTTAATGCATCCCTTTCTTTGTTTATTGTAAATCAATTTTGCTATAATATATAAACAATAAACGTCAACAATAGTCGTATTTCTATATTTCAAAGAAACACTGGTGCGTTATATAAAGTCGATTCAAAGAATATTTAAATTCATAATTAAATTGTTTTTTTCATTTTATTTGAAAAAAAACAAGTTAAACTATTTTATCATAGTATTATCCTTTTAATTAAACTTTATAGCTAGAATTTTTATTTTTTACATCTTATATGTTCTAAATCCTGTTATCTTTGTCAAGTAACTACAATTAAGGAAAAAAATTAAATCTTTGTAACTTATACAGTGTATTAAGATTTTATTAAAATGAATTTGAAGAATCAGAATATAATTGAATTTTAGATACAATGGTATAGATTCATTGATCGTCGTAAGCTATATAATACGAAAAGTATGATATAAAGATTACAAGGTACGCTAAGCCGCTATAATAAAGTTAGTATAGGTAATTACGACGTAGATCACGTAATTTGACGATATTCATTTTCATTTTTGCACATACCAGACTTTACAAAATACTGAAAATCGGAGAAAGAGGGACTCGCGTATACTTTACCCGCACCCAATCTCATACCGTGTATCTTCTAAATATGTTACCAATGCTATCGCGCTTGACGCGCTTTCAAATTATCTCTGGTATCAATTTTTCGATGATACCTACAATGCAAGTGAAAGTTCCTTGGGATTCTGGTTACTCTAAAAACCGTCACTACGTAGACATCCTTAGAAACTATGATGTAATTATATAACATTGTAACATAGAATTTATTCATAGATTTACTCGTCACATAAACCAGAATTCACGCTCATCTAAGTGATCTACACGTCATCGATGCAATTATATATATATATATTTGCTTTTTGCTATTTTGGACGCGTATTATTGAAAATTGATATCCTATGATTAGATCACAATGTGTCGTGAGTACCGTTGACGATTTGCTACTCGAGCAACGGTAAGAGAGACAGACAGAAATAGTTCTATCTATCTCGTGGATAATAAATGCAAGCATAAAGTTTAAAGCTCTATATATATATATATATATATATATATATATATATATATATATATATATATGTATATATATATATAATATGACGAATTTTAGCAATCCGCAAAAGCTTAATAATTAGAGTATTATACCGCGTAGTCTCTCTTAAGAGCAAGCAGTTTTAGCGCTTAGATTAAATCTTACCACTGGTTACATGTAAGAAGAAATAACTTACTTCGCCTTATAAGACACAATATCGCGCGGCAATTAACAGTTTACAGTGTAAAGTAGAAATATGATTTTGAGTGACAATATTTATACTGACTTTGAAAAATACAAAAAAAAATTCATAAGATAAATTATAATAATTACAGTTACTTGTATTCTACTTGATGAAAAATTGTTTTTTTAGGATCGTTAAAAAGATACGATCCTGCTTACTCGTCGTCGAAGTGACCGTAGTTTGTATCAAATACATTTATTAGTTGTCATTGTTTCTCGTAAAATGGAGGTCGTTGACGGTAATTGTAATTTCGAGGCGTGGTAATCTCTGATCATCAGAGTACATACACGACATTTCGGACATTCGTGGGATACTAGAATGAAACTATTCGATATCAAAGAGATATCTTATTCTGAAAATCTCCAAGCTTTGCTTTTTTCTAATTAGAAACTAATTTTTTATCTTTTCTATGATAGCGTTTTTTTTAATCGCGACTAATAAATTGGTCGATAAATAATAATATTAACATTATTAGTTTGAAATTTTCTTTGCATCCGATCTTTCCTGTGAAATATTTTTTTGGGAACGGGCGATGATCCAAACACTTCCCCATATTTGAATCACGGCATCGTTCCTCCTTGTATTATTCATATCTATATTATCTATTTCTCATTACGATGTTAAGAAAATTTCGACCGTTCTAATCTACAGTCATCATTGCGATTAATTTGGTCGTTGAAAAGATCGTGACTGCTTTAGCAGTTGCGAATCCGTTGATTAATGATAGTAAAATGGTTTGGCACGCGATAATGCGCAATGCAAAACACTTGTTAGATACCACAAACTTGCTAGAATCTATTCTCCCGTTTACAAATTGTTGAATAATAATGCTTGGGAGTTGATGATTAAAATCAAAACTACCTGATTATATACTTTGAGACACGCTGTGTATAAAACGAAATTAGTTCTAACAAGAGATCGTAATTACATGTTATTCGTCTATCATATCGAATAAATCGATTTGTCAAATAAAGAAAATCATTTATGACATTACAAAATATCTACCACTAGAAAATGTCATTTTATTTTTGTTATCATCGATCTTCTGTCAAGATAAGAGTAGATTGTGCAAAAAATATTACTTAATTCCTTACTTGTTACAGTTATAGACTTACAAAAGTGAGCGAGCATTTTTGAGTGATAAAGAGTAGGCACTCTGCTTGTTCCGTTTTTGCTCCTTCTTTTCTAATCTTTTCTTCATTTCTTTCTTTAAGGGCGGAGAAAAAGATCTGTGCGCGAATTTGCTCGCGAAAATATACTCTTAATAAGTGATATCAGATTAAAGTATATCTTAGAATATCATATCCACGTCGTCGAAGCGTCAAAACTACCCTATAGATTATCCTGAAGCTTGAAAAATCTATCTAGATTTTGTGCAGATCATTTTGGGTGATCATTCGTATATAAATGTGCTTATTTTAATTCTCGTTAGATTTACTATATATAACTATTAGATTTATATTCTAAAAGAATAACGTCACGACACGAAATCGCGCAATCCTGGAACAGAAACCTTCCCCGAATTTCGTTTCTGGATTGTCCCGATTTCTCGACAGTGACGTCAGTCAACGATTCGAGTAATTAAAATCACCCAATCTTACGCGCTAGATTTCTTGTTTGCGAATATAATTAGATTTATGATTGCTATCTATTAGATACTGACTCACGTACATAAATCGCGCACGCATCCCTTATAGTGAGTCCAGCTGTGACGATGCCTCAGCTTCTCGCTGCGTTAAAAATAATATCAGTGATATAACAATGCTTTCTGTTTGATCCGCGCGCGGGTGCAAATCTATCGTTGGATAGTCATAGGATGCATGCCATGATAGTGACGAATTTAAACGCGGACGATGTCAGGTGCGGGGCGGTAATATTCTAAGCGAGTCGTTTTGCTTGACGCTCCTCATGAGAGCAATTATAAGCGACAGCAACTATAATAATGATAATAATAATAATAATAATAATAGTGACAGTAATAGTGACGATAACAATTAATAATCACGATAATGGCTGCGAGAATAATCGCAGTTACGTATTGCACACGGATCACAGAGTGGAGACAATTGCTAGGCGTTACAGAAGTAATCTACAGATAGTGCAGATAGTGCCAAGCTTTCATAATCGTGTATATACGCATTTATCAATATATTTTATAGATTCTCTCTCGCACGATTACATGTATGCGTGTAAATGTATATATTATATATATATATATATATATATATAT